GAAGGCAGTCGCTTAACCAACTGAGCCACCCAGGCACCTCGACCTTGAGAGTTTTGAGTACTGCTCAGGTACTTGTAACATGACCTCCAAATGTTATCTGTCTGATTTTATTTATTTGACATAAAGAGAGCATAAGCAGGGAGAGCAGCAGAGGGAGAGGGAGAAGCAGGCTCTCCATGAGCAGGGAGCCCGATGTGGGTTTTGATCCCAGAACCCTGGGATCATGACCTGAGCCGAAGGCAGACGCTTAACCGACTGAGCCCCCGAGATGCCCCATCTCTCTGATGTTTTTCTCACAATCAGAATGGGGTGTGGGTTTTTAGGAGGAAGACCACAGAGGTAGAGTGCTATCCTCATCACACTATATCAGGGTACACACAACCAATGTGACTTACCACCATTGTCATTGACCTTATAGTGTTTGTCATTTTTCCACTGTAAGTCAGCTGTTCTCTTCCCTTTCCATACTGTCCCTTTGGAAGGAAGTCACTGAGTATAGCCCCCATACAGGGAGAGGGGAGTACCTATATTCTGAACAGGAGAGTTTTTTGAATAGGAGATTTTGCAGAATGCCCCAATAATTTGTGTCCCAAAGAAACAGATATGTTCAGGGGCACCTGGGTGGCTCTGTCAGTTGAGCGTCTGCCTTCTGCTGGGGTCATGATCCCAGGGTTCTGGGATCGAGCCCCACGTCGGGCTCCTTGCTCAGTGGGGAGCCTGCTTCTCCCTCTCCCTCTGCCTGCCACTCCCCGTGCTTGAGCTCTCTCTCGCCAAATAAATGAATGAAATCTTAAAAAAAAGAAAGAAAGAAACAGATATGTTCATGTTCCTTTTTTTTTTTTTAAAGATTTTATCCATTCGTTTGAGAGAGAGAGTGTGGTGAGAGAACACGAGCCAGGGGGAGAGGCAGCGGGAGAAGGACTTCTGCTGAGCAGGGAGCCTGACACGGGCTTGATCCCAGGACCCCAGGATCATGACCCGAGCCAAAGGCTGACACCCAACCAACTGAGCCACCCAGGTGCCCCAATATGTTCATGTTCTAACTAAAGACTGAGCAGTTTTGAATTTGCTTTAAAAATGCCCGGTTTCCTCATCACAGAGCTGAGATTTGTTCTGAAGCAGAATTAAAGTTTTTAGGGATAGGCACTTGCACTGGGTCGAGGTGTGTGTTCCTGAATATGGGCATGAACACCAGCTCTCTCTCTGGGCAGGTGGAATGACATGAACATCAGAGGGGTTGGGATGGATGACTTGAGGTCCTTTCTAACTCTGGAACTCAATACCAACAACTGATACTTACAAGTGTCTTTTTTTGGCAAGGCACCACTGCATACATCATCTCATTTGACCCAGTCTGTGCTCATGCACCAAAGGTACAAGAAATGCAACCAGCGGGACAGAGGCAGCTCTCTGCTCACCTTATCCATGCTGGCCTGGTTTAGTCTCATAATGGAAGCATGAGCCAGGCGGTCGTAGACAGTCCTCAGGGCCTTCTTGGAGTAGAGCTCTTGCGGTTTGAACAATTCCTCTATAAACTTTCGATTGAACATGGTTGAGATGATGTCATTCAGAACTGTAGAGACAAGAGAGAATACAGCTAAGCAAGTACTGAAGGAAGCTTTATTCAGGAAATGCTCTCTGTATATGAATGGAATGCAGGAGCTGGGTCTACGCAGAGTGGGGATGCTGATGTGCTGGTGAGATCTGCTCCCTCAGGAGAAACCACACAGGTATCCCAATAGAAAGCAGGGTCCAGAGTACTTTATGAGACTGTCTCTGAGCAAACATAAATGTGACAATGTGCTTCAGTGGTTACAAACCACTTTTGCACATACATTATCTCACTTGATGATAGGGGAGATGTTTCTTTAAAAAAATTCCTATGAACATTTTAGATTAGATCTCTTCCTTAAAATGAGAAACAACATTGCTCTTTTTTTGGTTTGTTTAGCTAATCTATAATGTTTTTACTTAAAATTAAATTTCATAAAAGTGGGACCAATAACGGTAATTGACTCTTTTTAAAGAAAAAACATTTTATGAAAATAGACAAATCTACCCACTGGTTAGAGATGAAAACTTTTCTAATGTTTCTACAAACATGTACTTCAGATCAGCACCATTTTAGAATGTCTTAATTTCTACATTTGATCTATAATATTGATATTACACTGTGGTGATGTGTCTCATATTGTTGTTCAAATGGAAAATTTCCATCTGGTGAGAATAAAAATCCTAAGGCACGTGCAAACCAAAGTGTCTATAATTCTAGTTCTTTATTCACTTGTTCATTTCGATATTTTGTGCTACTCAAATAATATTAATTGAAGGCTAGGAAAACCCTCTGGTACAAGAAATAGGAACAGGTATGTATGAACACAGATTATTCTTAATTAAGCCAGATATATCCTGGCCTAAGGGTGACAGGATAAGGATGCTGAGAATGTATATTCACGGTAATTAAAATTTGAAAGGAAACTGATAACTTACAATAATTATACAAAATCAATTATTAAACATGAGTGATTATCACTGAAGGATACAAATGCCCCTCTCTCTTGCCAAAGGTTGCACCAGGTGATTGGTTGTGACCGTGTATTTTAGAGATGGAAGGCAAGGTGGGTCATTCAGGTCATGGTTTCAGGCAACCTCTCCAGCTTTAAGTAATTGATAGAAGTACCCTGGGGGCCAGGCCAGCATTGGGGTGTCCGTCTGGCTCAGTTCGTAGAGCATGCGACTCTTGATCGTGGGGTTGTGAGTTTGAGCCCCACTTTGGGTGTAGAGATTACTTAAAAAAATAAAATCTTGGGGCGCCTGGGTGGCTCAGTCTGACTCTTGATCTCAGCTCAGGTCTTGATCTCAGGGTGGTGAGTTCAAGCCCTGTGTTGGGCTCCACGCTGGGTGTGGAGCCTACTTATAAACAAACAAACAAACAAATAAAATATTAAAAGCATCTCAAAGAGCATTTTTGGGGAGAAGGGGGAGGTTCTTCATTGTATTTAAATTTAGAGGGGGGGAGGGGATTCCCCACCTTTTGACACAAAAGAACTAAATGACTGACTCCCTACAGATGTGTTGAACTCACACTTGACCTTGGACTTTACTTGAGGCTCCATCCTCTTTGTGAGGAAGAACCTAATCCATTACCAACACAGGTTGTCTCTCACATCTGACAATTTGAACCCATCGCAGCTTGCCCTTAATGTGCACTAACATTTCCCCAGTGTGGACAGCTTGGAGACATAGGAACTTTTCTGGGTTTGCTTCATGAATGGTCTTTTGTCTTTGACCTAGGCAAGCAAGGACCGGTAAGAAACTGGGTTTTCTACCTTTTTCTTACCATAGCCTATATCAAATGCAGAATTTGCAAGGAAATAGGTACAAATGAAAAGCCACACACAAGGCATTGAGAGAAAGAATTTGAAGAACTTTCTACAGATTTATGTAGGGCAAAGAGGAGTGCCCAAGAGGAAGAATTCCAGTTGAAGGATCGCATCAGCTCTGATTATGTCAATGCTTTCAGAAGCTGCTATTCGTCTGGGTGCTGAGCCATTTCTCTAGAGTCTTTTAAGAGTCCCTAGCAGTATCTATGAATATAGCTTAGACCCAAATACATCAGTTCTAAAAGAAAGAAAATTGCAGGGGGATTGTTAGTCACTCTGGCAAAGTAAAAAGCAAAATGAAGCCTTTCCCCCTGGGAAGTGAATAGCCTATATATCATCACGGCTCCTTGCACCCTAACAACCAGAAAGTTCTCCTGTTGTTAAGAGTACAGCACGCCCTGTCCCTGTGGGCCGAGCAGTGAACACAAATGACCCCACAGAGGAAATGGCAGTTTGATGATTGGGCCCTGGTACCCAGAGCTCCCGCCTCTCGAATTTAAGTCTTTGGAAGGACTCTGGGGGCACAAATTGACAAGTTTACGTCTTACCCTGTGCTTTACCTAGCACTTGGTTGAGGTGGGCCTAAATCTGTACCAGACGTGAGATGAACACCAGGGCACAAAGTGGAACTGGCAGCTATCCCTGCCCTAGAGAAGTAGCCCAGGTCGTATTTAAGTTAAACCTGAGAAATGGGTTTAAGCAGACCTGTCAGTCAGTCTTGGTGTTAGTTTTTGGCACTCGCATGAGCTTTGCATAATTTCATGAGGCAGGAATGCACTAGGAGCCAGGTTTCGAGGGACAGAGACTAAGGGCAGGGAAGGAAATAAATTTTCACAGTTGCATCAGAAGTGTTAGTAACTGAGTTCTTAACAGATAAGGTTGCTCGTCCTGGGTTCTGAAGTCAGTTTCTCCTCATTATTTTGTCATGCCTAAGTTAAATTAAATTCCAATGATTCAATTATGTATGCTAACAGCCTTCATAATCCACACCTCTTGCCTGAAATTCTGCCCTGCGTCAAGAGGTGGGCCAAAAATAGCTCACAGGAAATGGTAAAAGTCAGTAAAAGTGTATCAAGCACTTCAGTTGGGTTTTTCTTTGAGCCTGGCCTGATGAAATAATTCTCTTGATGAAAGCAACTGAGTTTTTACCAGCTACCTCCACTATACATTTGTTTTGGGGAACATGCAATTTGGAACCCAGGGTAAAAGGGAGAAGCTACTACTTCTGGATGGTTACGGCTTTTCAATCCTTACTATGTCCCAGGCACTGGCCTTAGAAGTTTCCATGCATTCTCTCATTTAAACCCCAAGACAACTCTGAATTATTCTCCTTATTCTATCAAGGAGGAACGTTGAGTTTTAGATAGGTTAAAGTCCAAGGTCACACAGCTGGTGGTGGAAGTGAAATTAGGATGGGGTGTTTGATTTTAATGCCCGTGCTCTTACATATTACACGCGTCATCTCCTCAGCACACTTGGTAGGCTGAGAGCATTGAAAACATTGAGGACAATGGCTGATGACATGCATCAACTGCACCCAAATGTCAAGTGATGGAAGGTCCTTGCGACATTTAAGGGTGAGAAAGGCTAAGGTTTTATTCAAGTTTGCTGCTAGTCGTGGGTGAAGGGAAAATGGAAGATTCGGCACAAGGCCATAGCGCATGCGCGCTTCGCATGCAGCCACCTGCTTCCATGTCCCTCCGTTGCTCGGTAGAGATCTCTGGGTGCTGAGCAGAATGGCTCAGGGAGGAGCCCTGGTGTCGAAGCACAATTCTTTGGCTGCACGATACTGTCACAGAATTATTTTAAGGACTATCAAATAGGGCAGCCGACCCAGAAGTGTAGCTAATGCCCTGCAAAACTTGGAACAGACGAAAGGACAAATACCTCAGGTGCCATATGGTCCTTCGGCCAAAGTGTGCTTGGTTTTCATCTGACATGCTGTATTTATTTAAGTAAGAGATTCCAACGTACAACCAGTCTCTTGGCTAAAGAGGAACTCACGCCTGTGTCTTTCTTAGACATATTTAGGGTGGTCCCCCAGTAAGCCCAATGACGAAGGACCGAGTGAGCCTGTGGATGCAGACTGAATGCATGCAGCCCAGAGATAGCATACCTCGTTTTCTGTCCACCTCTGTCCATTCATCTACATGAAGCATATAAAAAGAAAACACCAGTTCATGAAGCAAGAACATTCTTTTCAAGGAGGCTTTAAAAATAGAAATTCCAATGATCTGGTCTTTGAAACTTTACTTTGCATGTTTGCATTAATGTCTAATGCAAATACTCTCTGCCTTCCATTTGAAACTTTGAAAAGGATGACGGGTAAATAACAAGTTCCCAAAAAGCCCTGGAGAGGCTATACCTTCCCGAGAGGAACCTCGTGGGAGAGGAAACCCGGAACTAGCTCCCCTGGGTTTATCTTGAAAGGCCCGAGAAGTCATTTTCTCTAATGCTATGAGAATACACCTCATTCAAAGGAAGGCTTTACAAGGGCGCCTGGGTGGCACAGTCAGTTAAGCATCTGACTCAGGAGGACCGGGGCGGTGGTGCCACAAGGGGCTCAAGTACTCTAAGGGACAGTGGCTACCTGCTGTTTAGCTGGCAAAAGCATGTCCCGCGTTGGCCCCCTCCTGAGGGCAATGACGCTCAGCTCCAGCAGAGGTCGCTGGAGTGCTGCGCGCTCCCGCCCCGGTCCTCCTGAGGATCCAGGGGAAAGTAAACCATGTTCTGCCTTTCTGTTATTTTTCCAGATGACTTGCTTATGCCAATTTCACTTTAGTTATATTTTGAGTGGGAGGAAGGCCCAAGGCTATCCAGAGCTGCCTGCTAAATTGGAACTAGAAAAATAAAAACAGAACCTCACCACCATTTGGTTGCTCAGTACTTCACTGTGATCTGCTCCTCCTGGAAAAATCACTTACTGGCTGTGTGTCTGTTTCCCCTTCTGTAAAATGAGGAATGTAAACAAAATGTAATAGGGTCTTATTTATGAGTATTTTTAAGAGGACTGGAGTGAGGCAAAGGCACTTTTATTATTCTTGCTATTGCTTAAAACGGGGGACAATATTCATATGCAACACTCAAAAGTTGCCCCATGGCGAGAGCACTTCCTTTCTGTTGAATGCCAAACTAGAGGCCTCCACTGTGGTGAAAAACTGCAGTATCTGCAATGGCCTCGTGGGAACGGCATGGCCTCCAGACCAATTAGTTGTGTAAGAGAATGAAAACACCTTGAAGAAATATGATTTCCATTCACAGCATCAACGGGGGACTCGTTTACAGTGTCTTGTGTTTTATAGGCCTCTGTGCACCAGCAACTGTCACAGCGGCTCCTTTAGCTACACCAGCTCTACATGGTGGGATAGATGGGTGTTTCTCAGCTTTCTGAATCCTGCACTCTCCACCCTGTTTTCTCGCTATCTTCTACGAGTCCCCATGAGCCAGTTACTTTCTGTCATTTCTTTCATAAAATCAGTGGGTCCATTGGACAATTTCTTCAGGGCTCCCCCTCTCTTCCCGACCTCCCATTCCCCGCACCCCCAAAGATTCTGATACAGTCCCCCCAAATATGGAAGTATAGTGTAGCACTTAAGGACATACTGGCTAAGAGTGTGAGCTCTGGAGCCTGATGACCTGGGTTCAAATCCTTTACGCTTCCTCTTACTGACTATGTAACCCCAGGCAAATTAACTTTAGTTTCCCCATCTGTAAAATAGGGATAGTATTACCTACATGATAGTATAGTTGTGGGGATTAAAGTCTTCAGAGAAGTCCTTGGTAGACAGTAAGTGCTTAATAAATGTTGGTGTTGTTAGGAAGATATGTCCCCCGGTTTTAGAAGCAGTTACTGGACGAGACTGATGCAAAGCCCTACCTCCAGTGAATGTACAGAAGGGCTGGCTCAGGCTCCATCCAGCATCTCACATGATGTCTGACACTCATCTAAACTGTGGAAGGGGGGAAAGAGTGTGTGAATGTGAATTACTAAAAATGGTTGAAACTCCCTAAAGCTGTATTTAGCAGACCCAGAAGAACTGTAGCTCCTGAAGACAAAGGAAACCAATCCCTTCATATTCACAGGGTCTTGCCCAGACCCCCTCTTGAAAGCCAACACCTGCCACTCATTGTGCTAAACATGTTGAAAACATGATCTCATTCAATTCTGACAACTTTGCTGTGAGTATGTATGATGCCCATTTTATGGAAAAAGAAACAGGCTTAAAGAGGTTACACTCCAAGGACATACAGCTAGTTAAAGAGCAAAGCTGGAATTGGAACCCAACTGCATGGCTGCAGAGAGTATGCTCTTAATTGCTAATTTATACCGTTTTTTAAGATGCAGACCACCAGTGCAAGGTCAGCTCAGTGGTGCCATTAGTCCAAATGCAATGACAACACATGTGTGCCAAGGAAAACAGAACCCTCTTGAGGAAGAAACGGCAACATCATATAAAACAGCCAATTTAGATCATCAGTTCAACAAACACTGACTGAACACCAATTTATTCTGGTCTAGACACTATGCTAGGTGCTGGAGTACAAAGATGAAGATGATAATCACGTGCGGGGGAGACACCCACAGACCATTTCAGTATAACCTGGCCAGTGATAAGATAGGGAGAGGCATGCATGGGGTACTATGGGAGTATTCTCAGACCCTTTCCCGGTGTGGGGAGGCTTCCTGAAGGAGCTGATTCTCAAGCTGAATAATGCAGAATGGACGAGGAACCATTAGCATAGAAATGGGAGCTTTGGGGTAGAATGGGGATTATTAGCATGGAAACGTGAATGAACATGTTTTAAATGTAGGCCTATAAGCAGTTTGGTATTAGGATATAAAGTAGGAGGCGGGCAGTGGTGGAAAGTGGGACTGCAGAGGTGGAGAGAGATTAGGTCAGCAAAGGCCCTGAAATGTCCTGCCAAAGACTTGGTCTCCATCCAAACATCAGTGTAAGCTGACAAAGGGTTTTAAGTAGCAGGGAGTATGGACAGATTTGCATTTTAGCACACTCATGGGCAGCAGTGTGCAGAATGAATGGAGGGGGTATGGGATAGTGGGTTCTTTTGATCTCTTTGTGCATGGACATGGACTCAATTGCACAGACACAATAGTGAATATTTGAATATGTATGCTTAACATCTGAATATGTACGTTTAACATCAGTTGAGCATACAGATTGCTGGATAGAATACATTTTTAATCTGGGGTCATGTCAGTTACCTTTATACCATATCTTTCTCTACCTTGAAATATATATTTCTTCCGTACTTAATCCCAGGAAACTTGGTGAAAGCAGTTGTTGGTTGAGAAGGGAGGAAAAGAAGAAAATGGTGGCAGAGAGTTCTGGGTGGTCATTTCTCTGGAGATTAGATGTGGTGTATATGGGTGACAGATTTTGCATTTTATAAGCTCTCATATAATTATTTCCAGAACTGCCTTCTCTTCCAATAATTGTGAAGGGAATAACGTAACTTTCTTATGTCTTCTTATTCATCTGTTATTTCAGAACCCCACCTTTCTAGAAATAGCTTCTGAAGTTAGCAAAACTGGCCTCCAGCTCATGGAGGATACCATGCAGAGGACAGGAGAATCAGCACCTGTTGGGGTGGGGGGCTGGGGGAAGAGGTTGCTTGGACTAGCAAACTGTTTCTATAGGTGGTGGGCAGCTCGGTCTCCTACATTTGGGAGGGACTGGTTGTCAAGAGAGATAGGGAAATCATCTCTCCAATTTGAGGGGATGAGGAAATGGTGTGTGTGTGTGTGGTGTGTGTTTGTGTGTGCGTGTGTCAGGTTCCCTAATAATATACCCTAGCGCGGGTATTAAATCCTTCTGCTGTGAAAACATCTTTTGGGGAATTTGACTCCCGAGGGGCCCTGAGCGGATGGCGCTGTGGAGTTGTGAGAAAGGTCCCTGGCTACAGGAGCGCGGGGTGCAGGGGTGTTGGTCAGTCTGCAGGGGGGCCTGGCTGTGGAGCTCCGGCTGCGCGCGCGGCGGCGGCGGTGAGCGGGACGGGCTGCCGGGCGTGGGGTGGGCTGTGCGGGCCGGGCGCCTCTCACCTTTGCGGGCCTTGTCTGCCGGGATGTTCTGGGCCCGCAGCCGCTGGTCCAGGATGTAAAGCATCTCCCCGCCCAAGTTCAAGAAGAGCAGCGGTAGTGTCCGCAGCGACATGGTGCCAGATGAGGGCGGAGGAGGCGAAGGGCCACGGGACTGGGTAGCCGGAGGCCGGCCTCCGCGTCCGGTCGCCTGGTTGCCAGGGCAACGCGGCGGATGGCAGAACGAGCCAATCAGCGGGCCGTTTGTTGGGAGGCGCCCGGGGCGGACGCTGATTGGGCCGGTGGCAGCGGCCTCCGCGGTAGGCTGGGTCCCCGGCTCTGCTCTAGCGGTGGTTTTCCCTCCGGCGCGGAGGCAGAGGCAGGGGCAGGGCCTGGCCCAGTAGGTTCGCCCGACATCCTCCCATCCCCCCGGCCCGAGAACGAGGAAGGCCCGAGCAGAACTTCCGAGCGAGCTCGGGGCGGCCGGACCTGAGGTGGAATCCCGGCTCCGCCCTTTCCTAGTTGTGCGACTCTGGGCACGGAACGTGGAGGGGTGACCCACCTCTCATGGGTGCAGAGGGGAATCCATGAGATGTGCAAAATGCCACGAAGGCGCTCAATAAAATGATAATGGACTTTTCTTTTGAATGGGGGGAGGGCCGGAAGTCCTTGAGTTTGCGTTTCCTTCCTAAAAGCTACTTGGAGTGAATCAAACCAGGCTTGCTCTTGTCTGTCCTGCTCCCGCAGGACGCGTGCTGGGGCTTCTCCGAAGCTCTTTCACGTTGTTGAGCAGGCCTCCCACCTACTTCTCTACATTGAGGGCGTCCTGTAGTTTACCCCCATCTTGAGCTCCAGCATCACCTTCCTATAATCTGCTGTACATTTTTACTTCGATGAGCAACCATTTCTGTAAATTTCAATACTTCTAAAACCTACAAAACATCTTTCCCTCCAGCCACTCAGGCTTGAAATCTGGGCCTTGGCTTCCAACTGTGTTTCCCTGGGTGCTATTATCAGTTATCAGTCACTACTTCTGCTTTTTCCTCCAAAATCGTTCTCACATTTATCTCTTCATTTATTTTTCTGCCTGCATTAGTATGTTCCTCCATGTTACTGCTCTTTTCTGTCTACTACAGGCACCGGCTGCTAGGCTAAATTTCAGCAGTTGCCATTGTCAATATGAGGAATCCCTTCAGTGGCTCCCAACTGTTTGCCAGATCACAGTTTAAATGCCTCAACATGGCATTCAAGACTCTCCACTCAGACTTCAACTACCTTTCTATTTATTATTTTTTTTTATATGTAGGCTCCATGTCCAGTGTGGAGCCCAACATGGACCCTGAACTCACACCCCTGAGCTTGAGACCTGAGCTGAGATGGAGAGTTGAATGCTTAACGGACTGAGCCACCCAGATGCCCCTCCAACTACCTTTTTAGAGACATCTTCAGCATTCCCTCATTGCTCCCTAATCCAGCTGAACTCATCTACTTCATCAGCTTTGCCCCCTCAATGGAACATCACCTCTTCCTCCTAACCACACCTACCACCACAGTTTTGCCCTGACATTTGCCAAGCTCAAGTCGTTCCCACACCTTCTCTGGCCCCCTTTCCTTCCCAGCCAAGTTTTTGAGTAGTCTACATTCACAACCTGAATTTCCTTAACATCTTCACTCCCTATGTCACTGCAGCTAGGATTCAGCTCTCTCCGTCCTACTGAAACTGCTTTACCATGAAGACTTTTTTCCCCTTAGCCAACATATCAGCATTGGATACTATACAGTAGTTGACAGCTGGCAGTCCAAGGCTTTGATTTGATTTTGTCTGGTCTCTGCAGTTTTAAAAGGGACAATAACTAGGATAGGGATATATCAAGCAGCTTAGCATCACCATCTTTTTTTTTTTTTTTATTTGAGACAGAGAGAATGAGAGAGAGAGAGCACATGAGAGGGGGGAGGGTCAGAGGCAGAAGCAGGCTCCCTGCCGAGCAGGGAGCCCAATGCGGGACTCGATCCAGGGACTCCAGGATCATGACCTGAGCCGAAGGCAGTCGCTTAACCAACTGAGCCACCCAGGCATCACTATCTTATACCTGGTCTTCATACATGACCTGCCTGATTGCTAAAGGCATTTTAGTATGCTATAGCATAGAATCCGCCCATAGCATCTCAGGTCATGTTTTGCCCCTAGGCAGTGTGGTATAATGAGCAGAACACAGGCATGGAGTAAAGACAGATGTGGCCTTGATTCCCAGGCCTATCTTTAACCAGCTGTGTGAACTTGGACAAGTTACCTAACTTCTGAGCCTTAGTTCTCGCATGGTAAAATGAGGATAATCATGCCAATATGGGGTGGATGGATCAGGAAGGTGGCTTTAAGGAGATGAGATATTGTGCCTAAGGCAGCACTTACAATGATGCCTTTCCTGTAGTGCCTGCTCCATGGTGTCCCTTTTCTCACCTTCTCCACTGGTCCCCCTAAATGATGGCACCCGGCCCCTCAGTGCGGGATATCCACGTAGCTGTGTCCACTCAAAGTCCTGCCCCATAAAGGGCCTTCCCTACTGTTCCTGGAGGTGACATCTGAACAGCAAGTCTGCAGTACTGAGCCTCTCATCTCCTTTTTTTTTTTTTTTTAAAGATTTTATTTATTTATTTGAGAGAGAGAGACACAGCGAGAGAGGGAACACAAGCAGGGGGAGTGGGAGAGGGAGAAGCAGGCTTCCCGCGGAGCAGGGAGCCCGATGCGGGACTCTATCCCGGGACCCTGGGATCATGACCTGAGCCGAAGGCAGACGCTTAACAACTGAGCCACCCAGGCGCCCCCTCACTTCTGATTCTGCAGGATCCCACGCTCTGTTCTATCCCTACTTCAACCCCCCCCACCCCGCCAGACCCTCAGTTGCTCCTAAGATCATCCTTCCCATCCTGACATGCCCTTTGTTTACACTCCTTCTCTGGGCAATTTTACTCATACCCATGGCTTCAATCACCATCCAAACCTAACCCCTAAGCCTCTCTCTAGCTTAGGTCTCGCTGTAGTCCCAGATCTAAGTTTCCAACTGTGTTTTGGATGTCACTTTAATATACCTTCCCCCATTTTGGCTTTCTTCTCAGAATGAAGCCCAAAGTCTTTTCCCCACTGTTGTGGACTGAATGTTTGTATACCTCCCCAAATTCGTGTATCAAAGCTCTAAGCCCCAACGTGATGGTATTTGGAGGTGGGGCCTTTAGGAGGTAATGAATTAGATGAGGTCATGAAGGTAGGGTCCTCACGATGGGATTAGTGCCCTTATAAGAAGAGGAAGAGATCTCCCCCCCCCCGCCCCCCCTTGCACGTGAGAACATAGAAAGCAGCAGTCTGTAAGCCAGAAAGATTCCTCACCAGAAACCAAATTGACCAGCACCTAGATCTTGGACTTCCTAGCATCCAGAACTTTGAAATAATAAGTTTCTGTTGTTTAAACCAGTTTATGGTTTTTAATGGCAGCCTGAGCAGACCAATACACCCAGAAAACTCTAATATTATCTGGTGTTTGCTTTCCCCTCTGACCTCATCTCTCCCTACTCTTCTTTGTTCACTCAGTTTTAGACACACTGCCTTCCTTGGGTTCTTCAAACATGCCAAGCATACTCAGACATCAAGGCCTTGACATTTCACTTGGTGTGGATGGGTGAGTTTTGCAGGAAAAGGGGTATCCATAACTCCCCAGAATTTATAAGGAATGTTTTGCATATGTGCAGTTTCTTGGGGATAGGACTTGTAGCTTTTATCAGACTCTCAATCTGAACACCAGTACCCCTGACCCCCAAACAATAAATTGCTCTGATGTCTCCCCCTCCCATCTACCCTCCACACTGCTACTGCTTAACCATCTAAAACACAGACTTGGTGCTGTCATCACTCCTTTGTTTTAAACCCTAACTGTCTCCCTGCTCCCTAGAGGGCAGCCAGCACATCAAGCCTCTCACTGCCCAGCTTCAGCTTACCTGTCAAGCTTTACTTCCTGGTCCCACTGCTCCTTGAACACGGCATGCACCTGTGGACTTCTTTGCCTTTGCACTTGCAATGCCTTCTGCCCAGGATGCTTTCCCACCCCGTTTCTGCCTGGTGAACTTCCACTCATCCTTCAGGGTCCAGTCCCGAAGGCAGCTCTTATAGCTGGCCTACTCACCTGGCAGTCAACTGGCCCCACTTCCTCTGTGCAGCTGGGCGCTCGGCCTCACCTCCGCAGGGACGTCACCTGGACCACAGGGTGCTGTTTACATGAGTGTGTGTGAGGTGTGTTGTGAGAATGTGTCCTCTGGTGTGTGAGGGCAGAGGCTCTGCCTCCGACAAGACTGGGATCTCAGAGCTGAATGAAAGAACAAATTCCTCCTCCTCCTATTATCCTTTAAGGCAGAAAGACAGAACTCAAATACAATTTATTGGTTTTCTTTGGCTGCCTCTGGTCCAGCTTTGGAAGGGCTCTCTGGGTTCTTCTGGCCCTGTTTCCGGGCCGCTGCTGCTTTAGCTTTTAAGGCCCTTCTTTGCTTCTTGAGCTTTTGTACCTCCTGGAAGACCTGGGGATGAAAAGGAGCAGGAAGAGACTGTAATCCTATGCAGCACCTCCGGCTTGGCGCAGGTGGGGCGGGAACGGACCTCCCTGGACGGGCACGCCAGCCTTTCTCCGCGGGGGTGATGGCCTGTGGGTCTCCTCAGGGCCTGGGGCCAGTTCCGTGCCTCAGGCAGGAGCAGACAACCCTCCTGCTGCTCTCCCCACCACAGTCCCAGAGCGGGGCCAGCCAAAGCAGCAATTCTTTTTTTTTTTTTTTTTTAAAGATTTTATCTATTTACCTGAGAGAGAGAGAGAGAGACAGAGTAGCAGAGGGAGAGAGAGAGAAATTCTGACTCGTACCTGAATGCACAGGGCCTTCTTGGCTGCCCAGCGTCGGTGGCCTTTCCGGTGGTACAGAGCGGGGGAGGTGTACTCAATCCCCAGCTCCTTGCATACCTTCTCGAAGACACTGTAGTTGGTCTTCCGGAGGTTTTTGAGCATCTTTTTCCTCTGATCGATGCTCATCAGCAGATAGCGCTTGTGGGCTTTGTCCTGTGAGGAGGTGGTGGGTTACTTTTAGTATTATATAAATAAGTGGTATGCCACTTTACGGTAACAAAGGACGGTCACCTTATCCTCTCACTGGAACCTCCCGACAATCGGACGCAAATATTAGTGTAAT